AGTTTATCCTGGATTGCAGTGAGCAAAGGTAAGTTTATTTTTCAATACATCACCAGTGGTTAAAACCAAACAAATAGCAGCAGAGAGATGATTTTTACATATTTCAGAAAAACAGGGCCAAGAATTCTTCCATCAGTTTAACCACTGTGCATTAAGGGGGTGTGAGTGTTTATTTTTCTATTTTCAAATGAAGGTATTCTTTGTGGTCGATTTAATAACAAGTATGGAGCAAAGCGAAATGTTGACTTTGGATGATTCGGGGTAGGTTGGGTTTTTTCCCCTTTGACAGTACTGTTGTATTTTGGGCTTCAGAAATGCTATGTGAGCAAAATAGGGACAGTGTTCGCAGGACAGCTGCAACGGCTGCATATTTCTTTTGCATCTAACACATTGGAAAATGCCAGCAATGCCTGATTTTTGGTGTTTAAAATGCTGTGCTGTTTTGTTCCTCGATGCCAGATAGATGTTTAAAAGCACAGGAGTGAACTAAGGAATGTTAGCATGGATCAAGCTGACAAGGGGGGGGGAGGTTTGGGATGAGGATTTTTTGTGGGTGGAGTGTGTTCTTTGTCCAGAAGACTATGTACTACCATGAAGAGGAAAGGCAAATTGCATCCTGAATTCTTACTTTCCTTTTTTTTTTCTGGTGCATATTACATATCAATGTTGCAGAATAACAGGATGACAGCATCTCATTTTAAGATTTTTTTTTTTCTTAGAGCCACAAAATCCTTATCCTAAAATAAATAATTTATAGTTTGAGGTTACTTCAATGGAAGTTTGAGAAGGTAGATTTCTATAGATTTTTGTTTTGTTGGAATAAGAAGAAAAAAGAATTTTTTGGTATTTTCTTACAAATGTCTGCTAATTGTGTACATTCCAAGTACTCGAAGCAATGGATTTTCCTGTACTGAGAAAACAAAATGTACAATACTGTGCATGATTTCAAATGTTACTAGATATTATAAATATATATATAATTTTTACAAGATGTATCTGTTGTAGACTTGTTGATTTTAACATTTCTTATTCAATGCTTATATAGTTTTATAGCCTGGACTATTATCTTTAAAAGCTTAAAAAAATTTACAATTCCAATTTTGTTACATTTTATACTGTTGATGTTACAATCCACAGGTTTGCATAGCGTGATTTTTGCAACGAGCAACTCTGTTCAGTTTATTTTAATACTGTATTTCTGTGCCTGACAGCTGTAGCTGTCGAAGGTGTGAGATGAACACTAAATAAAACTATTCTGCTTTTGTTAACATGGCAAACTTACTTCTACCCAGAAAAACCCAATTAATAAATAAATAAGTTGTTAAATTTTGGGGTTTATTCCCAGTTGTGAGGGTCCTTTGCACAGCCAAGGCTTCCAAGTGCTGAAGTTTGTAGTGCCAAAAGGGTATCGTTTTTATAGTGCTACTTTGCAACTCCTGGCCAGAACAGGTTTTATATTTAGAATAAATTTACAACACTTTTGGTTGAAGGGTAATATTCCATATTTGTTAGTGAGTATATTTATAGCCACACAAGCCATTGTGTGCACAGAGGAGTTAACCCCTGCACTCACATGGAATTAAGCACATAGCAGTAGCACAAGGGCAGGAATTGCTCATTAAACCTCCCAGTGGGAGATTTCTCCCAGCCCAGTGGAACAGGAACAAGGGACCTCATCCTGCCTGGCTCCCAAGGAGCAAGGGGAGACCAAGTATGGCTTTAGCTGTGGTGGGGGGTTAAGCAAGAGAGCTCAGTAAATCCTGGCTTTGCTGGAAGCAGGCAGTGCAGGGGGGTGTTGCAGCTTGGGAAACACGACCAATCCTACCAGCACTTTCCTGTGATCCTGTTGAACTGCATCCCAGACACCTCAATTTTTGATTGAGTTTGTCTACCTACTACATATAGCCTGCCTATAGTAGGAGACATTTGTGTCTTAAGTAGCTGGGTATGGAATGGCATGCATCTGAGATGTTAAATCTGTGGCACTGGGACTGGCACCACCACTGTTACATCCTAAAAGAATGAAAATAAACAAATAAATAAATTACATGGGGTTTAGGTCATTTCCTTGCTGCTGTAAGCAACAAAAACATTCTTTTAGCACCGCTAAGATGCACTGCTCTTTGGGAGGAGAAGCCTTGCTACCTGGAATGAGTTGTTTCCATGCTTTAAGGACATTCTTTGGTGGCCACCCCTGAGCCCTGCCCCAACAGAAGCAGCATGGGCCAGGGACAAGCCCTGGCCATCCAGGGCTGCAGGCAGAGCACAGCTAAATGGCCTTTTGCTGGCTGATGTGGAAATTGCTTCATCATGGCAGAGTGGTGAAGATACTATACCCCATTTGCTACCACCAGGGCTTGAAAAGTGGGAGAGGGGCAGATCATTCTGCAGTGAGCTGTGGTGTGCAGCATACCTGTGTTTTATAGCTCTCCCAAAAAATAATCCTCTGATCACAGAGAACACAGAAGTCACAGTCACAAAGAGGTAAGTCTGTCCCGGTGCAGCCCCTGACCCCCGTGTGACGCTGGTGTGATGTTTGCTTTCCCTCTTGGGTTTCATGATGTCATTCTTCCTCTGCTGGCCTTCACCCACAGCAATGTTTGCTTGTGGCTTAGGGAGGAGGGGGTAATATTTTACTTTAATTGTCCTACATTGCATCCACTTCTTAGCCCAGGATGAATATTTGCCTGCAGAGTGTGATGCGCATTGAGAAAGGCACCAAACAGTCTCAAGGAACATTTGTGAAGTTGCTTGGTTGGGCTGCGTCACTGAGCGAACATCCCACTGCAGCTCATCTCCCCTTTGGTGACTGCAGCCTTCCACCCAAACCCTATGCGCTTTACACATGAGTTATTTTTCAAAGCAAAACAGATGTCTTCTTTCCACTGCAGATGACTACACAAATAGAACCTCTCACTGGCCACCGTGACCTGTTTCATAGCAACATTCAAATAAATTCCTGAAGTTGTGATTTATTTCCATTGGTCAGGGCTCCATGGTGAGACAGGGAGGATTTGTCAAAAGGAAGAGAAGTCTGAAGTGCTGCAGGTGTCAGTAGGAGATGGCAACTAGAACCAAAACAGCAAAGTTTCCTGGTGACGGGTGCAATTTAAAACTCTTGGAGGAGGTGTCTCCTGCTGGTGGACTCCTCTGAGCAAGTTCATCCTTGCCAGGAACTGTATAACCTGCAGAAAAGGGAAGGAATATGGAAATGTGGATTATGCTGACATGAAAAAGGAATATAAAAGGTGAATGATGGGATTGCTCTGCTCAACACAGCAGAGCTACTAACAACAGGAGGGCATGAGGGAATAGCCAGGAACTGAAGGGCTTTCTAGGGCTTTGTGGCCCCGGACCATGGTCTCACCAAGAAGGAATAGGATTTGTCACTCTTGCTTGTACCCTCTTTTTCCTCCACTTCCTCAGCCATGTTAGCTTTGATTTAGTTTCTCTGTTTCATCACCATTGTGACAATTTTCACAAACAGCATCTAAGGTCAGCAACATGTCAAGCAGAAAACGCATTGTGCCCTGCCCCAATGAGATTATTATCTAAAACCAGGAAAGAAATCAGTGTTGTAAGTGCATGGTGACATAATTGGCTCTCAGCCCTATGGGGACATTTGTGCCCACACACACCACAGTGTGACCAGCTCTCCTGGCTGGTGCCCACCAAAGACCAGCCCATAGCCATTGCACCTGTGCCAGACCCTTTTATTTCTTTTTGGGGGTGGGGAGAGCAGGGTGGGGTTGGTGCCTGGCAGGAGCAGGGGATGGGAAAGTATGCAAGCAGAAC